AAAAAAAAAAAAAAAAAAAGAACCATGTCAGAAGGGATGCATATTCATACCCATTTTCACTGTTAGAAGAAATTTCTTTTCTCAACAGGTCTCCAGCACTTAAATGGGTAAACCCAAAAGTATCAACAATCCGCAGACATTGAGTTCCTTTTCCGCTCCCAGGACCCCCTATAAGCATCAAATCAGAATCAGTCCACTGTAATTTCATTGGTAAATTATACTCCTGAATAAGCTACAAAGTTCCATAATCTCGGGAGGCCCAATAGATCCAAAGAAATAATAAAAACAAACTCCCCTTTTCAGTTTTTTACAACTCCATATGGTTCACTTTACGAGGTTAATAATGTTAAGATGACAGAGACGGCCACAGCTATGCCTACAAGCTATTATCTAATGCAGCTATGCCTACAAGATTATCTAATGCAATTAACAATTTCACATCATTTCATGCTTTTCAAATACTTGGCAAAATAAAACATAACATTCCAGATGTCAGCAAATAACTCTACAAACACTTCTGAATACAATAATAGCATCTTACGACCACCTTCCTCAATTAGAAGATGTAAGCAGTTAAGCTTAACTGAACGTTAATTACCCAAGACAAAAGTCACAAATGGGATCCTTCTTCTATCAGAAATTCCGCTTTCCGCCTGAGTCCATCAAAGAAAATGCACAACATTAATATGCAAATCATCATACTGCAAGAAAGAATAAATCTGACTTGTTGGATTGAAGTAACATTTTGTGCGAAAAGGAAAACAATTGTGATTATAATTAGCAATGATGGATTGAATGGAACTCGTCGAGCTAAGTTTTCCCACACGGGAGTTGCAAATAAAAATTCTGATCATCAAAAGCTTCAGAAATTTACTCATGTCCAAAATCAAATGACAGGATCAAACAACATAGATAAACAAGACATTTTCAATTTTCATAGACCAAAATCCCATGCCTCACATTAATATCTAGGCAAAAGCATTCACAACTACTAACTGGAAGAAGAGTTAAAGCTAAGAAGCCACTGCCAATCTGTCACTGAAGAAAATTTCAGACAGAGAAATAACAATACAATCAAGAAGATCACAATTAAAAGCATTTCAGCATAGCAGGTTACCAAGCTAATAGCACATAAATGAAACAACAAAGAAAAAGTGAATATGAGTTCATTTCCTTCAAAATTTTAAAGCGCCAGAAATCAATGCGGGGAAGGCAACACTCTTTTCATGTAATGATCATCACAGCTGCCGAGAAAGAACTAGAATAGATTAGGAAATCCAATCATAATTTACTATGATTCCAATTAAAAGAACACATGAAGTTGATACCTGATCCAGAACTTGAGTGCTGAACATTTGAAAAGCGTTAAATCCACAGGCTGCCTGCACCTGATGAGAAAAGAACACTCGATCCTTCCGTGAAAAATCTCATCGTAAGTATAGAAGTAAGCCGGAAAATCAAAAACAGTAACATACTTGATTACGGTGGCGCGATTTGGAGAACGCAACCAGCGAAGAAAGAGAACCCACGCGCCGCCACATCTGTTTGATCCTTTCGCGAAAACAAAGCAACAAAGCTCAGAATGAGAACTAACCTAGCGAGCGACTGAGAGAGAGAGAGAGAGAGACTATGGAGTATGAAGAATTGTTTCAGCATTTCATGGAGACCTTGTGTCGAACAGGTTGCGAGCCATGTGGAGCTGTCAGTCAGTATGGTTAGAAAATGCAATTTTCATTTTGTTTAAATTAGATCTGCGGAATCGGGCCTCAACCCGCGGGCCGGGTCGACTTCTTTACAAGCTAGAGCCCCAGTGTTCATAAAAAAACCGACCAAATCGAAAACCGGAATATCCGATCGGAAGTTTTCAAACAATCCAACCGACCAAAATATGGATAAAACCCGAGATATAACTGAATCCAATTATCTGCTACGTGCTATGCGAGCTCATGAACGACTCCTATTGTTAACATTTGAGGATGTATTAGAATATTTTTAGAGGTGACACTGGTTTGAGA